TTTAGAATACAGATGCTTAGATTAATTACTAACCAGACTACTCAGAGCCATCCAACAAAAGAAATTGATGCTTTCATCATGGTGTGTTTATTTTCATCATTCATCCAACAGTTGTCACATTGAGAAATTCTGATGCCAACTTTATTACAAACATACAATCACAATATTATTATATTTTTAACCTACACATACTATACATTCGTGTTACATTATATTATACTAACTTTCCACCAATTCAATTCATACATGTATAATCTGAACTTAACTTGTCCATTATAACATGCAATGCAATCCAACTCATATGCTTTTCAAGTTTTAATTTCAACTTTAACTAACTTTACACATAATTTATCTACTTATTTATGTTAAACTTTACTTAAGTACCTTTAGTTAATAACTCATTATAACAACTCATAAAAGCACATTTGATTCCTTCAATTCAAACACCACACACACATACACACATTCACCACCTTTCACTGAAAAGTGCAACCACACCTGCATTCATTTTCCTTCTTCTTAAAAGTGATTTTTCCTTTGGTTCATGTGACTTTCAAGTTTCCATTGATAGAGAGAATGAAGATGCTGCTGAAGTAGCTGTTTGAAAATGGGAGTTGTAACTCTTGGCGAATTGAAGCCCAGTGTTTCAGGAAAAAGAACCTTTCGTCCAAGTTCAAGCATAAGACATGCCACTGAATGGTACTATATATATTCTTCTACTATTTCTTAACATGTTATACTCCATTTTTGTGTGTTTACTGCAATCCACATACACATACACCAGATACAGATACAAGATACAGACATTGGAAACGTCACTGATAATATAATGTGAAAAGATGTGTCTGTGACGTGAGAGACTAGTAGATAAAGAGGTAGAGTTTGATGACATGTTTTTATCTATCAATTATTAATTTAGCTTTTGGTGTGAATGAATTTGGAGATGCAATAGGAGTTCACCGACAATGGACAATATTTTTGGCTTCATATAGAACATGACAACTGTGAAATCAACTAGACCATACTCTACTGTGACTCCAATGATTTGCATGAATGGGTTCCACTCTATTGAAATAGCCATTCTTAAAATATTCTTATCCAAGATCTTGATTTGGAACTTCAACATGAGATTGAGTTCCATTTTGTGCTAGTAGAGTCTCTTTCTATGTCTCTGGTAACTCATTGAAACTTTCATGTTTTTGTGTATCTATAGTGATTCAGAATGAGTACTTTTTTTGCAGGCCAATTTCTGATGTTTCTAGTGATCTTACTATTCAAGTAGGAGCATCAACTTTTTCACTTCACAAGGTAAACGAAACAATCTATCTTTCCATTTTGGTATGCAAGGCCGTGTTTGAGTGTCAGCAACATGTGCTGGCCTCAAATTTTTCATAATAGATTTGTCACGACTAAATCACTGCAAAATATGACTCCTAGATGTTTTTGTCTAAATTGAAAGTGACTAACTTAAACAAGGTTTTCAAAAACTTAAGACGGCCATGTTGATGAATGGTTGAAAATATTCATATAGGAAAGCTTTTTGAACTAACTTAAAAGTCTTGCAAATTGTTTTTCAGTTTCCTCTTGTTTCTAGGAGTGGAAGATTCAGGAAACTACTACTAGATGTAAAAGATTCGAAAGTTTCGCGCGTAAGTTTTCCGGCTGTACCAGGTGGTGTAGAGGCATTTGAACTAGCTGCAAAATTCTGTTATGGAATCAATGTTGATTTCAATCTCTCAAATATTGCTATGATACATTGCACATCTCATTTTCTCGAAATGACAGAAGAATTCTCAGAAAAGAATTTGGTGACACGAGCCGAATCGTATCTAAAGGAAATAGTACTCCCAAACACATCAAGCATTATAAATGTTCTTCACCATTGCGAGAATCTTGTTCCTTTATCCGAAGAAATAAATCTGGTTAATAGGCTCATCAACGCGATTGCGAATAATGCGTGCAAAGAGCAACTTACATCTGGTTTGTTGAAACTTGATCATAATTTTCCTTCTAAGGCAGCATCAATAATGGAACCAGAAACACCTCTAGATTGGTGGGGGAACTCGATGAATGTTCTTAGTCTCGAATTCTTCGAACGAGTTGTATCCGTTATGAAGTCGAAGGGACTAAAACAAGACTTGATCAGCAAGATTTTGGTAAACTATGCACATAATTCTCTTCAAGGGACTAGTACTGTTAGTTCCCTTGACGTAGAATCACAGAAGAAACAAAAGGTTATTGTCGAAACTATAGTTCGGTTACTACCAACTCAATCAAGGAAAAGCTCAGTTCCAATCGCATTTCTATCGTGTTTATTGAAAACCGCGATAGCAACAATGGTTCCAACTTCTTGTAGAAGTGATTTGGAGAGGCGAATCGGTCTACAGCTCGATCAGGCGATACTCGAAGACATTCTTATTCCAACGAACTCGCCTTTGAGTACTCACAACACAATGTATGATATAGATTCGATTTTGAGGATCTTTTCTACTTTCCTAAACTTGGATGAAGTGGATGACCAAGATAGTGATTTCAGAGATGAAAATCAAATGATGTATGAGTACGAATTCGACAGTCCTGGATCTCCCAAACAAAGTTCAATTCTTAAAGTATCCAAATTAATGGATAATTTTCTTACTGAAGTTGCACTAGACTCCAACCTTTTGCCATCAAAATTCATAGCCCTTGCTGAACTACTTCCTGATCATGCTCGCGTTACAAGCGATGGACTCTATCGAGCGGTTGATATCTTCCTTAAGGTTAGATCTCGAAATCGAATCCTTTTAAAAAAGTTTTACAAATATGTTTATTTATGCCTCATGATGATATCCACTGAAATTCAGCCCTTGTTGTTTTGATTCGTAAATATACATTTATTTGTTATTTTTAGGTTCATTCGAACATTAAGGACTCAGAGCGATACCGTCTAAGCAAAACAATCGATTGTCAGAAACTATCTCAAGAAGCATGCAGCCATGCAGCACAAAACGAAAGACTCCCGGTACAAATAGGCGTACAAGTTCTTTACTACGAACAAATAAGGCTTCGAAACGCGATGAACGGAGGGCACAATCAAATCATGTTTGGTGGAAATCATGGCCAGTTTCCTCAAAGATCAGGAAGTGGTATAGGAAGTGGAGCAATATCACCAAGAGACAACTACGCATCAGTGAGACGAGAGAATCGAGAGTTGAAGCTTGAAGTAACAAGAATGAGAATGAGGTTGAACGATTTGGAGAAAGACCATGTTTCTATGAAACAAGAGCTTGTGAAAACAGGTCCTGCGCAGAGATTTTTCAAGTCATTTGCTAAGAAACTAAGCAAATTTAATGCTTTGTTTCGTATAAATAGTATTCGCGGGAGTGGAACTGCAAGGTCTGGTTCACAAACTCGGTCTCGGTTTCCTTTTCAAAGGCGAAAGTGTCACTCAGTTTCATGATTATGTTGTTAAGATGTATAATGTGCTTAAAACATGTAATGCATGATGTGAATGTGATTAAACTTGACCAAATTTTGAGTTTATTATAAATGTTCATTGGTGATTTTTTGTGTTCGTCGTGGTTTTAAATTGCAGTCGAGTCGAGGTCATGTGTCAAAATCTCATCTCATCGTGTGAGCCACAAATTTTTTTAGAACACCGAACACATTTTTTTGCAGTCAATACTAAATAAGTAAAGATACACCTAACCTGTTTCACCTTAATATTGACAAAGTAGATGTATATGGGATTAAGACTTTATGACAAGAGTTTCTAAGACATCAAAATCAAAACATGGCTACAAATTAGAGTCTTTGAGTAAAGGACTTGAAAGTAGATAACAAAAAGTCAGCAGGATGAGATACAATGAATCATATCGTATATTTTTTTGGTAACAAAGAATCACATAATTTGATTATGTGGTAGCATAATGACTAGAGTGACAAAAAATGCAATGATTATTCATAACCTATAAAAACAAGCAATGATTATTGATTATTTCCCACTTCTACACCATTTTTCATGCGTAATCATACCATGTTCACAAAAAATATTGGATAAAACTTTTCCGACAAGAATAGGTTTTGAGCAAAAGCAAGAAAATGATGGTGCCATGAAAAAAGAGGAACAACACATAATGAGAAATGAACTCCTTTATTTGTTTTATTTTGCACTAGTTGCCCTACGTTCTCCTTTTTTTGGTTAATTAAGAGGGACAAGCTCAAGAGTTATGTGCTCACCTCTATCCCCTTAACCCATTTAGAAAACAACTATTATCACCCTAGTTTTTACTCGTTAGGGAAAAAAACAAATAATTAATGTTTTTAAAAAGGGGAACATTTTTGCACATGCATGCAATTAAATAGATAACTAGCAAATTGAATGTTAAAATATAATAATGGTGAGTAATCACCCGGAGAGAAAAATAAAGAGGAGAAGACACAAAATAAAGAAATATAATTATTTTGTGTCTTCATAAGGCTCATGACGAAAGACTCAGTAATAAAGCAAATGCAGAAAGTACAAAATCATATTAATCCCTATTCTCTTTTATTCAAGTAATATCGTTTTCAGGAGCAACACTAGCTATCAAGATCAATCAGACGGTTGACCGTAATCTATGTCTCACTCCATACATTATGTTTTAAACAATTTCTACTATTTAAGTGGAAAAATGCGACATTCTAAGGTATTAAAATCCATGTCACTTTTGATTCTCTCACTGATTTAGGCGTTTGAGTGTTAACCTTGCAGGTCAGTCTCCTTTTCATCATATCGGAAGCTCAATTACATTGTATCAAGCACTAATTTCATCGCTCACCAAACAATTTTGACTCCACCACAGAACATAGGTGTCATATGTGGAAATTGAAATTAGTTTCTACGCATTTTCATGTTCAGATCTCTTATGATCCAAAGATTCAGATCTTCTTTTCTAGAAGCTTCAGATTCTGTTTCTTGATCTTCTTTCTTGGAGTTTCAACTTCCTCCTCCGATAAATCCATCCACAGATTCATCAACCATGTTGGCATCCAAATCCACTCGATATATCATTCAACGGCAAGCTAGTGCTGCACTTGTTGAAGTTGTTAGATCTTTGCCTTTTCCTTCTCCTCAAGCGGGAGACGATCTAATTTTGGTAGCGTCTCCTTCCAATTCTTTGCAACAAGTCCTACTCCACCAAAAGTCAGTCCAAGAGTATTGTTGTGTAGTTTTACAATAAGCAAGTGTAATATTATTGTATCCACGTGGACTGGTTATGCTCAAAGACAAATTCAACAACTTTTATGATTTTAAGGTAAAGTTGTTTGGTTGCGAAAAAGTAAATGACATAAAAACAAATGGACATTTCGATGTTAACAGTGAGAAAAATTGCTAGGGGTAGATATCATCATTATTATACTCATGCATAATCATTGACCAATAATATGCTCTTCTACTAAGCTATGAATATTACCGCTTGTTACTCTCACCATATCTCTTTAATAACTCAACAACGTGAGATCAATTTGTTACCTAATATGTGATATCTCGAACTATTAAATACAACACCATTAAGTTCCAACAGTGACATACATACATGGATTAACAATTATCCGTATTATGCAAATATTAAACCTAAAACTATGTCTAGACATTAACATCCAATAGATGGACAATGGATCTAGTAACAACCAACACCTTTCATATGTCAACCCATATCATTGAAAAAAGATTTTACATAGATAATCCAAAATCAACATTAAGAATAAAGAATCATCAATATTGAAGCTTAAGTAGAATTACATAAAATGACATGATCAAATTAAACATGAATATATAATAACTACATCTACCCCCAACAAAGAGATTTCTAGCTACGCTTACTCATCGTAGTTGTATAGGTAATCTCAAGAAGACAAATTCAAAGAGCCATCTGCAAGTGTCACTGCAAGCAGTGTTTCCGTGTTTAACCCCTCTCTCTTATTCTCCTATTAATACCAAGGTAAACCTACTCCTTTTATATACTCTCTTGAATCCACAAAAAATCTCTGAGAAATGAAGTTGAATTTCCTATTTATAGGCTAGAGAAAGGTAGACTCGCTAGGCGCACTGCCTATCCTCGCCTAATGTGCATACTTTCTTCTAGGTTAAGAAATGCCAACACACCCTGTAAGTAACCTTAGCCTCCCTAGCATGCCCGTGAACATAGACTAGCGAGCTTTGTTTGTAGAAAGTTGGTATTGATAAGTTCTATGTGTGTTGCTTGATTGTTTTTCAATTGTTTTCACCTGTTTTTCATAAATATGCAAGTAGAAAGTCTAAAATGGTGTTTTAACACTTTTCATAGATAAATCAAGATTTTTTTATGTTGATTTCAGCTTAAAATAAGTCGATAAGTACCTATATACTTTATGTAATTTTGGAAGTTATAAGTATTCTAAACATTTATGTTCTTTGGATCCACACACCAATTCCGTCAAGGTGAACCTTTTCATCGACCTCCACGACTACCTGTTATAAATGGATAAGAATTTCTCCCTCACCTTCTACTGTTACAGGCTAACCTCAGGGGTGCAAGGATCTATTGATTGTCTCAACAATGTTTATAATCTAGTGTAATAGCATAATTCACAAGTATGTACATCAGGTGTGTATTTTTTGTGTACTGAAACACTTATATCAAGATGTCCGGTTTGCATTTATAATTTTTTATGTCACATGTATGGAAATTCCTCTACAAATATGCGATAAAACCAAATATGTGTAGATACCTCTGATGCATTCTCAACTACTCAAATATTTAATACACGAGAAGAGGTGATAAGGTGGATTAAAGAGGTCGAAATAAAAAATAAAGTAATTGTTATTATCACTTATTCAGATACCAAAACAGGAAAGAGAGGGAGAAGCAACAAAGTAATATTTAGTTATGATAAAGGTAAGAAATACAAGGATACAAATAGTGGAACACAAAGTGCGACTAAGAAATGTGGATATCCATTAAAAATTAGGTCGACCCGGGAGAAATATGGGTTTGGATGGAAGGTTGATGTAAAATATGGAGCTTATAACCATGGTTAAACTGATAGATTAAAAGGTCATTCATTTGTTGGTAGGTTGACCATAGATGAGAAACAACATGTTATGATTTGAAAAAGAAACATGTTGCACCTAAACACATATTGTTTTCCTTGCATGAACGAGATATGGAGAATGTCACTCGTATCACACAAATATCTAAGTGTAAGAGTAAGTTGAAAAAAGAGATAAGAGGTCCTATAAGTGAGATACAAAATTTGTTTAAGCTTATGCAGGGAACATGCTATGTTAATTGAGTAGACAAAGAGATGACCTGGAAGCTGTGAGATATTTTTTGGGCCATCCAAATTCACTTAAGTTGTTGAATATTTTTCCTATCGTGTTAGTTATGGACATCACTTACAAGAGAAACAAATATAGACAACCTCTGTTTAAAAATTTTGGCATGACATTAACCGAGTTGACAATTTGTTTCGCATTTGCTTATATGGAGTCTGCGAAAATAGATAATTTTTGTTGGTTGTTGGATAAGCTGAACCTATTGTTTGTGAAGAAATATTTGTGTCCACAAGTGATTTTGACAGATAGAGATCTTGCTTTTATGAAAGCAATTGAAGTTGTGTTTCCAAGGACGGTTAATTTGCTACGTCGATTTCACATTAACAAAAATGTTGGTGCAAAATACACATTACATGGTGGATGACATGCAATAGACAATTGGAACATTATGGATGGAAGATGTACGAGCTAGTGATGAGGTTGGGTATGATCAGTGGTTACAACAACTTGAGCAAGCATGTGTTAATTATAGTGAATTTATTGATTATATGAAAGACACATGACTGACTTCACATCGGAGGAGATTTGTTGGGGCATGTACTATTTGAGTGCTACATTTGGGTAACACCACAACTAACCAGTATGTATTTTTTTTTGTATTTTTACTATGTATTATATTTAGGGTTGAGTCTGCTCATTGGAAGTTAAAGCAAATGTTGGGGAACAATATAGGTGACATGGTCAAATGTTGGGAGTCTATGGATAACAACTTGAAGTTACAACTGGGAAACATTTAAGCTTATTTTTAGAAAAGTTTTTTATGAAGTTGAGAACACACACATAAGTCCATTTTATGGTAATCTACGTAGTTCAGTATCTCGAGTTGCTTTGAGATGTATTACTAAAGAGTTATTAAGGGTTGACTATGTTGGAAGTAACATGCAAGTTTGTGGTTCTACTCTTATAACATCTTATGGGTTACCTTGTGCTTGCGAGTTAGGAAGATACACAATTGGTGGTATACCAATACCAATAGACAATATTCATGTTCATTACAGGAAACTAAGTATGGAAGTTGAGTTGAAGGTAGAGGTAGATGGTGGATCAAATGTGGATATGAGTAGTTAATGTTGTATCAGATAGTAATTATGGATTTAGAGACATTGCATCATTGCATGGATATACTGAAGATGGTTGGCCAATGGTTTGTTGAGACTTGAAAGAGGGATTTTCGTTGCCACCAGACACATTGGATTGGAAGAAGTCTCGTTCTCCAACAGTAGCATTTTAGATGTTAGGATTTGCAGGATGTCTTCAATATTGTAACTACTTACACATGTATTACCATCTTGAGTTAGCTTAGAATAAGTATATTATGTCATTGAGTATTAAAATATGTAATCGAAATATGAAGTTTAAACTATGTCATTGATTTTTAATTTCATATGTCTCAAGATCACATAACTGATAATAAATTAAACATAAGCCTAAAATTTAATACATATGAAAATTAGAAACATAAATCAACTACTACGAGTAATATGCAAAGCTTCAAATAAATTAGCAAACTGTGGGTCATCCTCATCAACACCAACTTGTTGGAGATAATAATTAAGCAAGGTAGAAAAACGAGCCCAACTCGGATGAGATAGTCCTACTTCATAAGCGAGTCTCTTGGCACATCACGAGGGTGCGTTACCAATCGAGGATGTGAAACACGATAATACCACACTAGGTATCCAACACCGATATCATATGGAATGGTGGGAAATGATATCATACGGATCACATCAATGATGCTATGATGGTAACCAATCCACTCAACATCAATATCATTAGCCATCATATAAGCAAGAGGTAGGGGTGGAACATATTGCCTGTATCCAAACTCACGTATACATTTGTCAGGAAAGTATGGAATAATTGTGTCACCCCGCTTCAAACACCCCCTTTACAGATATAACTCATCAAATTAGAGTCATACTCTATGATCCTCGAATGGGTGACATATGATGCCAATAAGTTTAAACTCGTCCAGAATAGGTCTCAACTCGTCCACCTTCAGGATTCCTTCCTTATAGGACCATCTCATAACTCGAGGAAGTCCATAATTATCAACTGCTTTCCAAAATTTTCCCGTCTTCCCATATGTTGGAAAATACTCATGAATCCAACATTGTTACAAAATTATACTATTAATAAAAAAATTTAACAAATAATAATAAATTTACTAAGTTAAAATAACTACTTGTAGCACAGTAGGATATCCATCAAACTTCTTGCAACTGAACATGGAAGCATCTCTGACATATCTATAGAGGGTAACCAAAGCAAGTGCTCCCTAATTGTATCCCTCACGTCTCTTCAAGTCCATATACAGTAATAAATATCGTACATCGACAAGTGTAGCACCCCCAAAATTTAGAATTATTTAATTAATTGATTAATTGTGATTAATTTTTGAATTTATGTGATGTGTGTGATATGTTGTGGGGTAGTAAGTGGGAATAGAGGTGATAATTAGAATTATTTAGATTTATAATATAGTTTATATTATTTAGAATTATATTAATAATTAAAATATTAAGGTGAAAAATGAGAATAAGGGCATAGTGGTAAGTGTGTGAGATAAGATAGGGCATAAGAGGAAAACCATATAAAGGCTAGGGCTTGTTCTGTATGATAATAGAATTTGGGAGAACATAAAGAGATGCTAGGGCTTAAAGAGAACCAAGAGGAGAACTTCGTAGAATGTGAAGGAAGAGATCGATTGCTAAGAATTGAAGTAAGGGGTGTAAGCCAAGTTTGTTATGATTGATAGGGGGTTAAGGTAGATGTAGGTCTTTATTTGTATGATGATTTTGATGAAACACGTGATGAAATTGTTGATGAAGATGTTTATGATACCATGATTAAGTCTATGATGTATATGATGATGTGTTGTTGTTGAGTTGTGAAAGTATGATGATTACTATGCGTTTCAGACTGAGTTTGGTACTGTAATCGAAATTATTATGGGGATGGAAAGTGAAGAAATCCCAACTGAGAAGTTGTTGTGTGGCACGCGTCATCGGACGAGCAAGGGGCGAGACAGTCTCCCAATATTCACTGGGCGAGCTAGATGGTGAGCGAAAGGGCGGAAAAAGAGGGCTCTTGGAAAATGTATAAAGAGGGGATCATCGCCAGAGCTTTATCGGGCGAGCGAAGTAGAAATGAACCCAATCGTGCATTTATACGGGTGAGCTGAGTGCCCCAAAGCTTTTTTGGGTGAGGCTGAAGCGAGCAGACCTGAAAGTGAAAGTTGAAAATACGGAAACTTGAGTTTCAAGAATCCGTTTGACGTGTCGTTCAAAGCATTAAGAAGCTGACGCGTAGAACTATATTATAACAGAGTTATATGAATGGTTTGAAGCATGATTCTAGTACCTAGGTGTTTATGAGATTGAATTATTATATGCTTGATATGCTAATATGTTCTATTTTAATGATGAGTTTGATGATGTTGTAAAGTTTCTATTATGTTGTTGTTGTGATGTAATTAATGTTACCCGTGATGATGTTTTAAGGATGTGCATGTTTAATGTGTATAGAGGCTATGTGATGATGATTATTTGAATGGTGATGCAATTGACTAGTCGTGGTCGAACTTTATATGACGTTGTTATGCATCATACATTCATAGCATTTTTGGACGGTGGTCCGCTTGTGACGATCCTCAATCTCATTGTGCGAATTTAGTGTGTTTATGATATGCTCTGGTTCTGAGAGGGAACCGATCCTATGGTGGGGATCATGGAGGGTGGTGAACCAGATGTTCATAAATTTGGTACCACATACATTGTGTCAGTGTTATTGCATTAACGTTCTATGTGACATTGCATGGATTTTGTGGATGCGTTGTAATGTGATGATAATTATGAACGGTGTGATCATATGATGATTTGATGATGAAAGATGTCTAAGTGCTATTATGATGTATCAGTGAGTATGAAGTGTTGATAAATGATATGTGTTGATTATATGATGATGTTGTTTATGACTACTAATCTTTTTCTTATATCTTTTATTATGTATTTTGATTACTCACCCTTTCTGTTTGAATGTTGCCTCCACGTGGGTAACATGCAGATGCTCTGGAGTAGCTTGTAGGGGCATTGGAGATAGCTTTAGATTATTTTTTTAGTTTCGTTATATTAGTGGTGTCTTGCTCTGATATGGAACATCGGGTTGGGAACGCTATGTTTTGCGAATGTTATGTTACTTTTTGTTAACATATATTATGAGATTTTTGGATGTTAAAGTGCTTGTAAGTGCAACTTTTGTTGAAATTATAATACTTGATTTTCTGGAAGATGAATTAATTTTATTTATGATGATGAATTTGATGCGATGTTTTTAAATGATGTGTTGAGTTATAATCAGATGCATGTTTTAAATTGTTGTAACCCATGTTACAGAACATGAATGATATTATGATGTTTTCTATAAAGTGTGACACCCTTGAGTGATGATTTTACTTAAATTATTCCATAAATTATATGAGAAATATATGTTGGGTTATAAGGGTTTTATATTAGTCGTATCAGATTGGGCCGGTCTGTCTGGCTAGGTTTTTATATGATGTTTATGTCTCAATGATCGATTTATGTGTAAAAACAATAAATGTTTTTTTCCTCTAATGATGTTTGCCATATGCAGAGTGAAATGGCTGGAGGAAGAAACAATGATGAAATTGTTGAGGCTTTGGAGTTATTGGCTTAAGCAATGGCCCAGAATCAGCAAAATCCCCATAATGCTAGAGGGAATGATGAGTTTTGTGTTTTGGAAAGGTTTTAGCTAAATAACTCGCCAATCTTTAAGGGCACACATGATCCTGATGGTGCACAGGTGTGGCTCAAAAAGATCGAGAAGATCTTCAAAGTGATGGCTTGGTCAGAGAAGTAGAAGGTGCGGTTTGGTACCCAGATGTTGGAAGCAAAGGCTAAAGAATGGTGGGATAACGCACGTCAGAGGATGGTGATTTTGGGTACAGAGATTACTTGGGTTGTTTTCAGAGTTGAATTTTTGGAAAAGTACTTTCTTGAAGATGTGTGTGGCAAGAAGGGGATTGAATTCCTTGAGCTGAAACAAGGGAATTTGACTATTGTTAAGTATGCTACCAGGTTTGAAGAGTTGGTGAAGTTCTGTTTGCATTATAATAATCCAGCAATTGAGGCGTCTAAGTGTATCAAATTTGAGAATGGGATGCGTCCAGAGATTAAGTAGGGAATTGGATATCAGAAGATTTTCCAGTTTCTTATATTAGTGAATAAGTGAATGATCTATGATCAGGATACCAGAGCCAAATCTTATTTTTATAAGAGTTATAATGAGAAGGAGAGGAAGAACCCTGATTGTGGTAAGTCGTATAGTGTTCCTGCTGACAAGGGGAAGCATAAAGTTTATGATAAGAAGAAGCCAAGTGGGGGAGAAGCTCCCGCCTCTATCAAGTGCTTTAAATGTGGCGAGCAAGGCCACCATGCTGATAGTTGCGACAATAAGGTGTTGAGATGTTACAAATGTGGTAAGACGGGTCATCATGCTTCTGAGTGCAAGAATGAAGGTTCGACTTGTTTCAACTATGGTAAACAGGGTCACATCAGTACCCAGTTGCATAAGCCGGAGAAGACTACTACTACTACTACTCATACTAATGGCAAAGTGTTTTCTTTGAATGGTTCAAAGGTTCCCAAGAAGGATGACCTGATTCGAGGTATTTGTTTTATTAAAAATGTCGAGTTAATTGCTATTATTGATATGGGTGCTACTCATTCGTTTATTTCGCTTGAATGTGCCACGATGTTGGGATTGAAATTGTCTTCTATGAATGGTAGTATGGTGATAAACATTCCAGCTAAGAGTTATGTTACTACTACTTTTACCTATTCGAGTTGTCCTTTAACTATCTTTGGTAAGATTTTCATGATGGATTTGGTGTGTCTACGCTTGCACCAAGTTGATGTTATCCTTGGAATGAACTGGTTAGAGTTCAACTATGTTCATATAATGTTATAATAAGATTGTGAGGTTCCCTAAGTTTGGTGATAATTGAGAGCTTGTGTTTATATCTTCTAAGAAAGTGGAGGGAC